TTAACAGACTTTCCAAAATTTTTCCCACAACTGATGTAAGTCTAATGGCTCTATAATTACTGGGACAATTTTTATCACCTCCCTTGAAAGGAGGGGTTACATTAGCTAGCTTCCAATCCTCTGGTATCTGCCAACTAGGACTGACAAAAAATAGTTGTAAGTGGTTCACATATCCAATCTTTAACCTCCTTCAAAACCATTGGGGAAATATTACCTGGCCCAGGAGACTTATCATTTTATAAACTTCCCAATTTTCTCTTAACCAGCTCAGAATTAATGCAGCCATCTTGTTTGATCTCATTTCCATTTATCAACTGATCAAGATGTGGAATACTGCTTAAATCTTTGTCAGTAAAAACTGAAGGAAAAGCAAAATTTAATAACTCATCCATCTCATAATCATCAGATACTAGCCTTCCTTTATCATCCCTCAAGGGTTCTACCCCCATCCTAAAGTTTTGTTTATCCTTAATGTATTTAAAGAAATCCTTACTGTTAATTTTTACACTTTCAGCCAACCTTTTCTCGTACATCCTTTTTGATGTTCTAATTTTCTGTTTCACTAACTTTCTTGATCTTGTAAATCTCCTATCATACCAGTCAATTTAAATTTCTTAAATTTATGATGCTTTTCTTTACTTTTATCTCTTAAACTCTTTGTAAGCAATCCTGTTTTTTTTTACTTACAGCTAACATTTTCTTTCTATTAAGAATATGTTTACCTTGAATATTTCATTTCAATGGATGCAAACAAAAAGGTGGATGTAAATATACTTTAGTAGATATCTTGTAGAACAACATATTAAAAGCTTATCAGTTTTTAAAAAGGTCTAATATTAAGTTACAGAATAACATAAGTTTATCTACTGATAGTATTAAGTATGGTAAAGTTTAGCCCTAACTAAACTGAAGTAAAAAATGTACACTATGTTAAATTATCTCTATTGAATATATTTCATACTTAATAGATGCTTAACTAATGTTAGGCCTAAGACAAGTGGACTTACAAAAGAATTCTAATCCAATTCTTTATTATTCTATAAATCCTGTATTTTAAGAAATAATGCTGCAATAAAGATGCTAATTTTACTGCAAACGTTTTGTGGGTCTCTGCTAATTTTATAGAATACAGTGTAAACTATAAAAAGTTTATACATACCATTTGTAGATAAATAACTCCTAAAGATGTAGAGAAGTAACTGGTAAAAATGATATTTCAATGATAAAATATTGTCAGCTTACCACGTGCTCTTTTTTTTCTCCCAACAATTCAAAAAACTTGTATAATGAAACAGATGAATTTATTTATGAAAACAATTTATTAAAAAATAACAAATATTTAATATAAACTTAGCATGTATAATAGAATGGTTAAAAGTAATTAATTAGGATATTGTTATGTCTCTGGTCGTTGGTTAATTTTCTGTAGAAATTCTTTCTGAGAAACTTCAGCGATACAAGTCCTTTCTTAATTAAAACTAGTTTATTCTTTCTCGTTACAAACTTTGCAATACACAGAATTTCCACAGTCAGTTTAACTTAACTAATTTTATAAAAACATGCTATAATTTGCAGGGATTCACACACTTTACTACCATGCTTGACTCAATTATCTGTCTCTGCAATTCTAATTCCGATTAATAATTTCGCTTTATCTGGTGCATTTATATACAAG